TAGGTTATACAACACATCAACTACTCTGAGTGTGAATGAGTTTATCTTAGTTCTGTGTTGCATCAGTGTTTCTAAATTTTGTAAATGTGCCCTCGTGTTCTAAAGTTGGATCTTTTCCTCTTCTTTTCTCTTCTTTCTGGATCTTAATTACTGCCAAATCCAAATTGACCGCTTGTCAGCCATTTCGTTTTTCTGGTCAGCCCCGAAAGGAGAAGGGCACCACTGGTGGGACACCTAGACATGAAATTCGAGAAATATCCATCCAGTTCTTCTCAAGAAATACCGATTACAAGGATTGTTTATGGTCAGAAAGCACACCTTTTGTCTCTGACATAAAAGTGCACTCCTCCGCTGACCACGTGTACCTTAAGTGCACGCGTGTCAGGACATGCATGTTGTTTTATGAGCGGTTGTTTTATCTGTGATCTGGTATATATGACTGCTATAGATAGATTACAAAGATTGGGATTCCTTAGCCAATTTATTCTGATCCTGTAACGGGTCTTGCTGATTGGTCGATGAAAGGCATCTCTCAATTTCTACTAACATCTTTGATACAAGACACAAAACGTCTTGAAAATAGGACTAAAATGAACAGATTTGCTCCGAACAAAGGATAAAAAGTTCGCCTCTTGATTGGAGATGGAATATGATGTTCTGATTTATTGCCTGCTCTCATCATTAGGATGTGTAACGTTTATCAATAGAACTAATCAACATTCCGATTTAGGTACGTTCGTGTCGTCTTTTCTCGTATGACTATACTTTTATAAATACACAATCACGAACCAAGGAGAGTTGTCATATTTATCAATCTTTTTCAAAACGCGCAAATACAATTCATGCATTTTCGTAATAAAAATCTTCAAAGGCTTATAATCTTACATCCAGCGTATTGCAATAGGTCAGAGCAGTTTCTGTTTGAGTTGTTGAAACACGTCGCACATCGAGTCAACAACAAATCTCCACCGCTTAATGTTCTGCATCTTCAATACCAACATGTCATCATTATCATAATCCAAACTCAAATTCAATCAAATTAGGGCAAAATATGTACAAAACAAAGATATTCAAGTGCATTCTTGAAGCAGTTAATTAACATTATGAGAGCAAATCCACGTAGCTAGATGTTATATCTTCTCTAACATGTTACTAACCATGTATGATTCTGGTATCAGGGTTTCATATCTTCTCTAACATGTTACTAACCAGGTATGATTCTGGTATCAGGGTTTTATATCTTCTCTAACATGTTACTAACCATGCATGATTCTGGTATCAGGGTTTTATATCTTCTCTAACATGTTACTAACCATGTATGATTCTGGTATCAGGGTTTTATATCTTCTCTAACATGTTACTTACCATGTATGATTCTGGTATCAGGGTTTATATCTTCTCTAACATGTTACTAACCATGTATGATTCTGGTATCAGGGTTTTATATCTTCTCTAACATGTTACTTACCATGTATGATTCTGGTATCAGGGTTTTATATCTTCTCTAACATGTTACTAACCATGTATGATTCTGGTATCAGGGTTTTATATCTTCTCTAACATGTTACTAACCGTATGATTCTGGTATCAGGGTTTTATATCTTCTCTAACATGTTACTAACCGTATGATTCTGGTATCAGGGTTTTATATCTTCTCTAACATGTTACTTACCATGTATGATTCTGGTATCAGGGTTTATATCTTCTCTAACATGTTACTAACCGTATGATTCTGGTATCAGGGTTTTATATCTAATCTAACATGTTACTTACCAGGTATGATTCTGGTATCAGGGTTTTATATCTTCTCTAACATGTTACTTACCATGTATGATTCTGGTATCAGGGTTTCATATCTTCTCTAACATGTTACTAACCAGGTATGATTCTGGTATCAGGGTTTTATATCTTCTCTAACATGTTACTTACCATGTATGATTCTAGTATCAGGGTTTCATATCTTCTCTAACATGTTACTAACCATGTATGATTCTGGTATCAGGGTTTCATATCTTCTCTAACATGTTACTTACCATGTATGATTCTGGTATCAGGGTTTCATATCTTCTCTAACATGTTACTAACCATGTATGATTCTGGTGTCAGGGTTTCATATCTTCTCTAACATGTTACTTACCATGTATGATTCTGGTGTCAGGGTTTTATATCTTCTCTAACATGCTACTAACCGTATGATTCTGGTGTCATGGTTATTCAAAATAATCTGACGGACCCTTCCAGCATATTTATGCATTGATTATAAATAGCCTGTACATCATACCGATGTGTGATTTAATGGTTTTGATAATATAAGACTAAGAGAAGATACCGATATTCTTGCAGTTGGAATGACAGCCGAATCTGAATTCTTCTTCATCAACTATAAATATCGTCTTCCCTATGTATAAATGATTGTCTACAATTGCTTTTGTGACAGCATTTGATACGGTACTAGCAGCTTATCGCCCTTTTACAAATCTGGCATTGTTCAGGAAAATGCTACTACATACTTCGGAACAAAATCGGAATATAAACGTAATTTTGTTTTTATTTCATCATTCTACACGGTTTAAGGAATCTCACACGGACCTCCTTGTTACTAAAGAATTCATATTTTTGATGAAGGAGGACGTGCGTTGATACACGTGTCAATCTAAATTAAAATAATATTTTTTTTCAATAATTCAGTAGCATAACGTGTACTATGTTATTATTGGTAGGAGAATGCCTACATAACGTTTGTGTAAATTTCTTTGCCAATGTCATAACAACATCGAAATTAAACATTCAGTTCTATAAGGGGTTTAATTCTTTCATTATATTGCCATCGTCTCGATAGATATTTCGTAAAAAGAGACGTTTTACTATTTATTAATACAGATTGGGATTACCAACTTCATTTCGTTTTCATCACTAAACTGTATTTTGCATCGTTTGGTGTAGGAGAATGTTTAAATCCTTAACATGAATAGGTCTTGTTTCCCGTGAGTTAATGGGCAAGTCACGAAAGGCCCATTGTTTTTCATGTATGTACAAGTACATTGCACATCCAACGTTGACCAGGAATACTTTAAACATGCGTGCGTCAGTAAGATGTTTTACGAGCGGCCGTTCAGGCGTGTCTGATCTGGTACATCTACATCGTGTTGCTATGTCATCCTGATGATCTGACGGGTAACTTCAGATTAGTCAGGGAACAAGTATCTTCTTTCTACTGCATTTTTTTGATAATCTAATGAACGATTCACCGCTCCTTGTGATTCAGAAATAAGAACACTTCGGAGCGGAACAATATGCACTCGTCCAATGTCATGAAATATTCAGGCCTTTTTGTATAAAAAAGAATACAAATACGGAAATGGTAAAAATAAGTCCAAATGTCACGAAGGAAAAGTTTAAAGACATTGGATGAAAACTGTAAAAGATTGAAAATCTCTGAACAAGATTTAAATACTGAAAAGGAACGAAGGACTATAACTTTTGAAATATTGTTGAATAAAAATCTTGTTCATTACAACGCAATCTTATGTTGTGATTTTCCAGCCCACCATATTTCAAAGAAATTGGTTAGAAACTGAAGAACCGCATAACTGAACAAAATTGAAATGTTAAAAATAATAATAAAAAAAACCGAAGGGCAATGACTCTTCCAATTACTGTAAAATAAAAATGCCATAAAGGAACTCACAACTTCACGTTCTAGTTATGAAGCCTACAAAGTTTCAGAGAAATTGGTGGAAATCTGAGGAAGGAGATCTGCGTATAATATCAAAATGCTGAAAAAACAAAGGGCAGTAACTCTTTCAAAAATTGGTTGAATAATATTTTTTGAAGGAAAACACAATTTCATGTCACGGTGATGAGGTCTTTAAAATTTGAAGATCTTCAAACATAATTACCACTAAAAACAATGGGCAGTAATCCTTCCAAACACCACGGAATCAAACTGCCATTCAATCAAAACAACAAGGGGCAGTAACTCTTCCAAATATTGTTGGGCAAACTGCTGTTCAAGAAAACACATCTTCATGTAATATCAATAAAGCCTTTAAGATTGAAAGAAATTGGTTGAAAACTGAGAGAGGAGATCGTCAGACAAGATTAGCATTATGGAATTAATAATGGGCTGTAATTCTTCCAAATATAGTCAACTTACAGTACCATTCAAGAAAACTTAACTTCAAGTCATGGTGATTATGCCTTCCAAGTTTACAAATGACCGGTTGAAAACTGTGGAAGGAGATCTTTGGACAAATAAAAGATTACCACGGATAGACAAACAATGTTTTACCACAATATGTCCTGTCAAAATTTCTGACGGGTGTAAATCACAAGAACTATGATAAATTGACCCATCTGATTATACCAGATGAAACAGCTAAATACTTTCATTTTCACCGTAAATGTTTTTCATCAACAGTTATAATAAACATTCTGATATTGGTGATGGTCCTTTCCTGTCTTCTCACCAATATATGTGTATGTATAGTGTGTTAGAAACCTGTGATAAGATACTTGATGCCACTAGATGAACCGATGATTACAAATGCAATATTTATGAAAGGATTTACCTTTCAATACAGAAAGGATAATGTAACTATGGTAAATACTAGCTTCAATGCACTGCTCAGCTAGTGAAAACTTAGCTTGATCGGTATAGTGTCAGACTAGTAAGCTAGAGGTCCCAGGTGCGAATCTTTGCGGAGGCATTGAAATAAATAATGATCTAGGTAACACTGGCACCCATGTAGGGACTTAGGAATAATACTTAGCAATGCTCTGCTGTAACCACTGCAAACAAGAGGACGATACATTTCCTGTTGTTGTGTGTTAAATACTAGCCACAATATACTACTCGGCTAGAGAAAACTTCTCTTTAGCACAATTGGTTGAGCGTCGGACTAGTAAGTGTTGGGTCCTGGGTTTGAATCCTCACTCAAGCACAGAAATAAATAATGACCTCTTTTACAATAACAAAACAAAATCAGGGTATACTCCCTAGACATATTTTATTGAAATGAGAAAATAATACATTTACTCATCAACAACAGACTATACTACAGTGTGAAGTGGTAAACTGACATTTGTACACTTACAGTAACATGTCTACCTCACTATGTGATCTTGTTCTCTCATTCTGATAGATGTAACAGCATGACCGACCAAAAGATGTACCAGCAATGTTTTAATAGGAAACTGAAGTATAGTTATAATGATCTCGAATTGTCTGATACACTGTAACATTTTATATACCGTAATATTTTACAGTGTAACATTTAATACACAGTTACATTTTACAAAGTGTAAAACTTTATACAGTGTAACATTTAACACAGTGTAACATTCTATACAGTGTAATGTTTAACACAGTGTAACATTTAACACAGTGTAACATTTTATACAGTGTAACATTTAACACAGTGTAACATTTTATACAGTGTAATGTTTAACACAGTGTAACATTTAACACAGTGTAATGTTTAACTCAGTGTAACATTTAACACAGTGTAACATTTAAAACAGTGTAACATTTTATACAGTGTAACATTTAACTGTGTAATGTTTAACACAGTGTAACATTTTATACAGTGTAACATTTAACACAGTGTAACATTTTATACAGCGTAATGTTTAACACAGTGTAACATTTAACACAGTGTAACATTTAACACAGTGTAATGTTTAACAGTGTAACATTTTACAAAGTGTAAAACTTTATACAGTGTAACGTTTAACACAGTGTAACATTTAACACAGCGTAACATTTGAAACAGTGTAACATATTAGGTATGTTAATAATAAAATGATGTACATATGTACTATGCTAGTCAAAAAGGTTCTACATGAAAACTGAACACTAACATTACATAATAGTGTATCCTTTGCATCAAACACCCTTAGGCTGGGTTTACACATATTTTGATAATGCAGCTTGTTTGTTTATCATCATTCTCATTGTGTACTTAGTATAAATCATTTATACAATCTGTACATTATGTTGATAATGCACTTTTACCAATATTAGGTATATCTTTATATGTATTATATTATTTAAAGTATAGCTGTATCAATACTCAACAACCTGTTTATAATTACACAAACTGTCTGTTTTGTTTTATTTTGCTTTTATCTAATCTGATTTAGTAATAATTCTTGTAACATTAAAACATTTGGCTCCAACCAAGTTATCTATGTAATTAAACAGGATAACATGTACAATACAGTACATTGCCGTGGGGCAAGCCACATAACAAACATGTTTCCGATAAAAAAGAAATGTTTGTTGGCTCAAGTTCAGAAAAAAGGTAAGACCAGTAAGTAAATAACATTTCAGTCTAAACCATTTTACTAACTGCCTCATTCACATTAAAGTGAAAAATATTCAAATTCCTCTCAATATGGTAATATGGTATGCTATGTGTAGCCTCTAGTCATATCCTTATCAAACATACAAAGTGATGAAATATATGCTAAGTTGTGTTAGTGATCATTTATAACCTCCCTATCTTGACTTCCACACAATACATAAAACATCCTCAACTTGCTATTTTTTCTTCACTTGTTTGTAAACAAATTTTTTGCTGTTGTGTTTCTGTGGTTTTTGGTAACCAAAGCCTCCTCCTCCTCCTCCTCCTCGTTTCTGGACCTTCCTACCTTTGCTGCCATATACTTCTAGAAATAAGTTAAGGAAATGTTATCGAAAGCTTCTTTTCTATAATTTACAAAAAGTTCAAACCTTATTTAACTTTTGAAGTATCCTGTCTGGTTAAAACACCCCTCAGTCAATGTTCCATGTCTGGTAAAACATTTCATCAGTTAAAGTTCCATGTTTGGTATAAGACTACATCAGTTTTTATTGTCCAGGTCAGGTTTAACACTTCATCAGTTAATGTCCCATGTCTGGTAAAACACTTCATCAGTTAATGTCCCATGTCTGGTATAACACTTCATCAGTTAATGTCCCATGTCTGGTATAACACTTCATCAGTTAATGTCCCATGTTTGGTAAAACACTTCATCAGTTAATGTCCAGGTCAGGTAAAACATTTCATCTGTTAATGTCCCATGTTTGGTAAAACACTTCATCAGTTAATGTCTCATGTATGTTAAAACATTTCATCAGTTAATGTCTCATGTTTGGTACAACACTTCATTAGTTAATGTTTCCTGTCTGGTAAAACACTTCATCAGTTAATGTCCCATGTCTGATATAACATTTCATCAGTTAATGTCCCATGTCTGGTATAACGCTTCATCAGTTAATGTCCCATGTTTGGTAAAACACTTCATCAGTTCGTTAATGTCCAGGTCAGGTAAAACATTTCATCTGTTAATGTCCCATGTTTGGTAAAACACTTCCTCAGTTAATGTCTCATGTATGTTAAAACATTTCATCAGTTAATGTCTCATGTTTGGTACAACACTTCATAAGTTAATGTTTCCTGTCTGGTAAAACACTTCATCAGTTAATGTCTCATGTTTGGTTCAACACTTCATTAGTAAATGTTTCCTGTCTGGTAAAACACTTCATCAGTTAATGTCCCATGTCTGGTATAACACTTCATCAGTTAATGTCTCATGTTTGGTATAACACTTCATCAGTTCATGTCCCATGTCTGGTATAACACTTCATCAGTTAATGTCCCATGTCTGGTATAACACTTCATCAGTTAATGTCCCATGTCTGGTATAATGTTTCATGAAACAGCAATACTCACTTTTCACTCATCTCACTTTTGTGGACAAACATGTATCAATTATTTTTCATCTATCAAAATATGTTATGATAGAGCTACGTCTGAAAAGAAGAGATTATTAAAATATATGAAGAGCTTCATAAAACTTTCACTGATATACGTCTCCTGGAAAATGTAAGAGGATTATATCGACTGCCAACATTTTAATTTTTGAAAATAAATGCATATGAAATTAAAAAAAAATTTAGTTCTTGACTGGAAATCAGATTTATAAAGGTTTTCATAAAAGGATACCCAAGTCCACAAAAGGTGGCACCTTGAAGCCGAAGGACAGTGCCGTCTTCAACAGGTCAAGACTGTTGACATCATAGATGTTCTTCAAACTGTGTGAAGCAAAAGCCCTCACATAGGCTTTGTATGCCTCCTTTGCTGACTTATTCAGGAAATAGTTCTTTTCTATCAGTTTCTCCAGCTGAAAAAAGATAATAATGATAAATCATCACTAATTAACAAACCTAACCATGATGGTGCTGTTTATCTGTACAAAGCTCCACTGAATAAACCTCACAACCTTAATCTTGATTATCTGAACAAGGTTCCACTAACCTCACTCCCTTATTTTGTTTATCTGTACAAGGTTCCACTAACCTCACTCCCTTATTTTGTTTATCTGTACAAGGTTCCACTAACCTCACTCCCTTATTTTGTTTATCTGTACAAGGATCCACTAACCTCACTCTCTTAACCTTGTTTATCTCTACAAGGTTCCACTAACCTCATTCTCTTAATCTTGTTTATCTGTACAAGGCTCCACTAAATAAACCTCACAACCTTAATCTTGTTTATCCATACAAGGTTCCACTGACCTCACTCTCTTATTTTGTTTATCCATACAAGGTTCCACTGACCTCACTCTCTTATTTTGTTTATCTGTACAAGGTTCCACTAACCTCACTCTCTTATTTTGTTTATCTGTACAAGGTTCCACTGACCTCACTCTCTTATTTTGTTTATCTGTACAAGGTTCCACTGACCTCACTCTCTTATTTTGTTTATCCATACAGGGTTCCACTGACCTCACTCTCTTATTTTGTTTATCTGTACAAGGTTCCACTGACCTCACTCTCTTATTTTGTTTATCTGTACAAGGTTCCACTAACCTCATTCTCTTAATCTTGTTTATCCATACAATGTTTCACTAACCTCACTCTCTTAATCTTGTTTATCCATACAATGTTTCACTAACCTCACTCTCTTAATCTTGTTTATCCATACAAGGTTGGGGTGGTTGGGTGGCGCAGCGGTAATGCACTCGCCTTTCACCTAGCCGACCAGGGTTCGATTCCCGAAACGGACGTGAAAAGGTTAGGGGTCACCTGCCCGACCCGGGTACTCCGGTTTCCTCCCACTATAAGACCCCTCGCACACTTACATCTGGGCCAACAAGAGTGATTAGTAGAAGTTGGTATAACTTCTTTCGCAATTGTTGTAAAATAAATAAAGTTTATACTATATTATCTGTACAAAGCTCCACTAAATAAACCTCATTCTCTTAACCTTGTTTATCTGTACAAGGTTCCACTAACCTCACTCTCTTAACCTTGTTTATCCATACAAGGCTCCACTAACCTCACTCCCTTATCTTGTTTATCTGAACAAGGCTCCACTAACCTCACTCTCTCCATCTTGTTTATCTGTACAAGGCTCCACTAACCTCACTCCCTTATCTTGTTTATCTGAACAAGGCTCCACTAACCTCACTCTCTCCATCTTGTTTATCTGTACAAGGCTCCACTAACCTCACTCCCTTAATCTTGTTTATTTGAACAAGACTCCACTAACCTCACTCTCTTAACCTTGTTTATCTGTACAAGGTTCCACTAACCTCACTCTCTTAATCCTGTTTATTCATGCAAGGTTCAACTATCCTCACTCCCTTAATCTTGTTTATTTGAACAAGACTTCACTAACCTCACTCTCTTAACCTTGTTTATCTGTACAAGGTTCCACTAACCTCACTTTCTTAACCTTGTTTATCTGTACAAGACTTCACTAACCTCACTCTCTTAATCTTGTTTATCCATACAAGGTTCCACTGACATCACTCTCTTAATCTTGTTTATCTGTACAAGGTTCCACTAACCTCACTTTCTTAACCTTGTTTATCTGAACAAGGCTCCACTAACCTCACTCTCTCCATCTTGTTTATCTATACAAGGCTCCACTAACCTTACTCCTTTATCTTGTTTATCTGTACAAGGTTCCACTAACCTCACTCTCTTAACCTTGTTTATCTGTACAAGACTTCACTAACCTCACTCTCTTAATCTTGTTTATCCATACAAGGTTCCACTGACCTCACTCTCTTAATCTTGTTTATCTGTACAAGGTTCCACTAACCTCACTTTCTTAACCTTGTTTATCTGTATAAGGCTCCACTAACCTCACTCCCTTATCTTGTTTACCTGAACAAGGCTCCACTAACCTCACTCTCTCCATCTTGTTTATCTATACAAGGCTCCACTAACCTCACTCTCTCCATCTTGTTTATCTGTACAAGGCTCCACTAAACTCACTCCTTTATCTTGTTTATCTGTACAAGGCTCCACTAACCTCACTCTCTTAACCTTGTTTATCTGTACAAGGCTCCACTAACCTCACTCTCTCCATCTTGTTTATCTGTACAAGGCTCCATTAACCTCACTCTCTCCATCTTGTTTATCTGTACACAGCTCTACTATCATCACTCTCTCCATCTTGTTTATGTTTATAAGGCTCCACTAACCTCTATTTCTTAATCTTGTTTATATTTACAAGGTTCAACTAACCTCACTCTCTCCATCTTGTTTATGTTTACAAGGCTCCACTAACCTCTATTTTTTAATCTTGTTTATCTGTACAGGATTCCACTACCCTCACTTTTGTAATTTCATTTATCTATATGAAGCTCTCAAAAAATAGAAAAGCCAGTTAATTTAACATTAAACTTTCACTTTCCGAGCTGCCTTACTTGTGAATTAAAATCCACTATGTAATGTAGGTGTCTATTGGTATATCGTCCCTTTAGTAGGACTTCCATTGGCTGCCTTACTTGTGAATTAAGATACACAATGTAATGTAGGTGTGTATTGGTACATCGTCCCTTTAGTAGGACTTCCATTGGCTGCCTTACTTGTGAATTAAGATACACAATGTAATGTAGGTGTGTATTGGTACATCGTCCCTTTAGTAGGACTTCCATTGGCTGCCTTACTTGTGAATTAAGATACACAATGTAATGTAGGTGTGTATTGGTACACCGTCCCTTTAGTAGGACTTCCATTGGCTGCCTTACTTGTGAATTAAGATACACAATGTAATGTAGGTGTGTATTGGTACATCGTCCCTTTAGTAGGACTTCCATTGGCTGCCTTACTTGAGAATTAACATACACAATGTAATGTAGGTGTGTATTGGTACATTGTCCCTTTAGTAGGACTTCCATTGGCTGCCTTACTTGTGAATTAAGATACACAATGTAATGTAGGTGTGTATTGGTACATCGTCCCTTTAGTAGGACTTCCATTGGCTGCCTTACTTGTGAATTAAAATCCACTATGTAATGTAGGTGTCTATTGGTACATTGTCCCTTTAGCAGGACTTCCATTGGCTGCCTTACTTGAGAATTAAGATACACAATGTAATGTAAGTGTCTATTGGTACATCGTCCCTTTATGAGGATTTATGAGGTAACTCATTTCCAAACTTAAAAACTTCTGCTGCTTTTAATTCTATGAATAATCACCATGAAAATGCGAATTTTACGTTCTCAAATGCAAAATAAAACATTATGAATGAGAAATTTTGGCATATCACCATTGGTGCAAAGAATGAAGTTGGTGTCGCACAAAGTGATAAATTCCTATACAGTTAATACTGTGTGTTAATTTCCTGAGTTAGTAGGAGCAAGACTTATTATCTTTGTACTATGATATGATTGCTCTCTTTGTACTTACAGTACAACAGTATCATTAATTCTAGCATCAGACCAGTGCACCGCCGCGCCAAGTCTATAGCTCTGTTTGAAGCATGACATTACAGAACGGGACGTTTTATCACTAGTGATTCCGCAGACAAAAAAGTGCAGTAATTTGCTGAAGGGTAATAAATAGGTTTGGCCAAACTACAAGCATATGTAATTCCAAGTAATTGACTCGAGTCGTAACAGGTTTCCTAAAAACATCATCTATCATGAAGAAAGTAAGTGTTAGTGTAAAATGGATGAAGATAGAGCCGTGTCCAAGGAGTTAAACAGTAGATCTAGGGGTGGTGGGTCTGTGATATGGCCAATCTTAATGGACTGTTTTGTAGAAACTGGATAAATGTTGTGGAACTCATTAAGAAATTGTTCCTGATGGAGAGGAGCCACCCATCACAAGGCCAACCTTAATGGACTAATGTGTAGAAACAGTAAGATGTATTCGGTAAAAATAGACACACCATTTTGCTCCATGAAATAAGGCGTCATCCATGCTGCCTTCTTCTATATTTCTGACAGGGATTTATTTCATCTCTCAGACATGTGTATTTTTTGTTTTGTTGTTTGTCTCCCTCTGCTCAATGAGAAGATTTGTCTAGACAATTAATCACTTCTTTCATTCAGTTTTCTGTGGTTTTATAGGCCAAACATTTCATGTTGACAAAACTAATTATTACAACTGACATTTTCATAAAATAAACTAGAAAATGTCTGTAAGACATAAATTTCCCCATTCTCCCATGGCCAAGGCCTTGATAATGACCAAAGTATACCCATACTTGACCTTTGCATAAAATTTGACCAAATTCAATGAAAGAACGATTTCTACCTGGGGAGGTGGGGGACCTATGATTTGACATGGGGTCCCTGAAACACAACAATATCTGAAGTAATACTCATAACTGATCTTTGAATAAAATTTGACAAAAAATCATGAAGGATTGAAGTCACTAAGTGTTTAAATTGAATTGAGATGGGTAGCAACGGACATAGGCAACCCTATATACCCCCCATTTTATGGTGGGGGCATGAAATTCTGGGGTTAATAAATTAAAAGGCATTTTCAAACATCTTTAATCATAAATAATTTTTCCTGTTTGCTGTAAAACAAGGTAAGATTATTTTAGACAAGTTCCTCTTCCACAATGTCACATTTGTACTATTCAAGTGATGAAAAATTATGACATGTAAATACTACAAACACATTGAGAAAGAAATATCAAAATTAACAGTTTTGACAAAAAATGCAAATTATTTAAATATATTTCATATCTGTTTACTTAAGAGCAAACTCATTAATATACAATACTATGTTTTTATATGTAAATGATTACCTGTGGCTGTATATTTGAGATCTTGCTCCAGGAAAACTCAAACTCATTCAGCGGTACCTTGGCATGTTTGAGGTAGCGAAGAAAACCAAGTTCTTCTGGGCGCAGAATGAGAAGGGCGTGACCAATTCCTCCATCCCCCCGAGCTGTCCGTCCAACTCTGTGGATGTATTCCTGTACAACAAACGGTCAGTTTCAGTCAATACTATAACAAATTTTAAACACACAGTGTACAGCACCTTTTTATACTAAAGAATTAGATCAAGTGAGCTAAAATAAAGAATGAAAATTTCATCATACAGCTGTGAGGCGACTGAAAGTGAAAGTGAATGAAGGAGATATCAAAATCTATTAGCCCCATTACAATAAAACATAAGATTTAATCAATTTTGCAATTTCCATATATCTGTTCATTTCAGAAGAATGTCAAGTACATATACGTGTATATTCTGGTCGTATCATAATATATATACCCATTGACTTGTACACTATAAATTTTCACCATTTCACTCCCACTATTAAAGAGCTAAACATCAGTGAGATAACAACATCAGTGAGATAACTTTGCTATCTGACTACCTATATAATATGAAACAAAGCCATTGTGTGATTTATCATATCAGCAATTAGTGAAATGGTGGGAACTCTTTTGTACTTTTCTTTCTTCCTTTTTTTTTCTTGTTTCGCCTGTAATTTCTGTCATGCTATCCAATCCTCCGATTTGGTTTTCTATCAGTGCTGTTTGATTTGACTCAATAACCATCTGAAGTCTCACAAGACTAGCGTCCCCAACTTAAACTTACCAGCAGTGTAACACAAGACACATGTTCCCAGCCTCTACTTACCAACAGTGCACGACAAGATAGCAGTGCATCACAAGACACATGTCCCCTGTGTATACTAACCAGAGTACAATGCATTAATGATGTATTATTATTAATGTTACAAAACAATTGCCTAATTTCTCCGCTAATTCAAACATCTTAATGCGTAATAAATTCTGTACCATTGTGTCCATTAAACTCCAACTTCATTGAAGAAATGCAATGAAACTGCATTCGTTTACGAGCAATCAATTTATCAATGACTCCAAACATCAAACTCAAACAATTATTGCTTAATGTCCATTTACTACACACCAATAAATTGGAGAATCTGAAAACTCTTCTGTTGTGTGTATACTCCCAGACAACCTTAAAACAGTAGCTATTGGGTAATACTGCCTTCAGTTAGGAAAGTTTTCAGTATGAAATAAACAGAAAACTATATATGTTGTGCTAGATCTTCACCAGACTTCAATATGCAAACCTTTTGTTATCTATTTGCCAGTTTTCATAAAGTAAAATGATGGAATTTAGTATGAATAGAAGCAGACATTTTAGCATCTGACACCCCTTGTGATCAATGTGATACAGTAAAAACCACTCCAAAGTGATCAGTGATGAAGCTGATGACTTTGATCATACAAAACTCTCCTAAATATCAGACAGATACATTTTTTCCTCCTATGGACCTGTTATCAGTTGAGAGAATGTTGGGTTTGTCTTTGAGGCTATAAAGATTTGATTGTCTCTCTGGGAATGGAAAGAAACACACTGTATGATCACTGGAAGGTAGATTGCATCCACACAGAACACTTAACACCTGAAAATGTAGATATTTCTGATGTTTCTGTCATAAGTGACATTTTCACGCCATAAATTTCAAATCAAGTGAATGCCTCTAAACAACTGTAAAATTCAGTAAAATTCTTTGTTGTAGCATACATGAGAAAAATACTTGAGTGGAATTACCTAACAGCATGGCATGTGTTCCCGTCGGTGTAATAACATTACAGAACAACTTCAAAAACTGTGACCATTACTTTGCCCATTTCAAATTGAAATCTATTTAAGCACCAATAATAATGGTGCAGTGCACTTGAGATGGTGACTTTTCTGTCAATTTGATGCCCTGGATTCTGACATTGAATACATATTCTACTCTAGACTATAAAGTGAATGTTAAAATCTTTACATCACCTGGAAACTGCTCTTCAGCAGGAGAAACACTTCACAATAAAGCGAGTGAGCTCACGGAATGGAAAACGTCGAGTAATAGCTAAGTCCTGGGAATAATGCCAGGGTGACGAAGACTTTTCTTAAAATTACCGGACCACAAGGAAACACTTTCTCATTTCTATTTTCTTTGTTTTACCAAATCTTAAGATGAATTACCAGACCAATCAGAATTTCAAGAGACATGCCAGGTGATCACAGACACAGTTTGGCACACATTAATGCTTCAGTCTAATTTTCACCGTAATTAGATATGTCTACTATAACTAAATACTAAAATATCGTTGGGTACGGATTTGTAATCAGACTTGCTATGAACTAAAAAATGCATTTCATCTGCTCTAATGTGCTTAAAACATGATAATTTAATTAATAACCACATGTACATCACTGCCTACATTACCATCCGTAACTTAATTATCCGGAAACAGAATGGACGATTTACTGAAATGTCAGGTCTGACCTAAGCACAACACATCGGTACAGATTTTTAATGACTTTTTCCAATTAACCAAATTTGAATGTATTCCAAAAGTCATCCTTAAAGTACTCATTATTTGAAGCTTAACTCTTCAAAAGTTGCAACAAAGAAGACAAATACATGTATATAACACCTTTTCTTACAGTGAAAAAACGAGCATGTGATAATGATGGAATACATTCTTACAAAGCCCATATCTATTATTGGAACTCCGCCTAATATTCTTGAGAGACATCCAATACATAATAAGTAACTTAACACACATGAGAAGGTGGGGAGGGGAAGAGGGACTGGTGTAGTTGACCTTGGAGAGAGGGGGAGGGGAAGAGGGATGGGTGTAGTTGACCCTGCAGAAAGGGGGAGGTAAAGAGGGATGGGTGTAGTTGACCCTGGAGAGAGGGGGAGGTGAAGAGGGATGAGTGTAGTTGACCCTGAAGAGAGGGGGAGGTGAAGAGGGATGGGTGTAGTTTACCCTGGAGAGAGGGGGAGGGGAAGAGGGATGGGTGTAGTTGACCCTGGAGAGAGGGGGAAAGGAAGAGGGATGGGTGTAGTTGACCCTGGAGAGAGGGGGAGAGGAAGAGGGAAAGGTGTAATTGACCCTGGAGAGAGGGGGAGGGGAAGAGGGATGGGTGTAGTTGACCCTGGAGAGAGGGGGAGAGGAAGAGGGATGGGTGTAGTTGACCCTGGAGAGAGGGGGAGAGGAAGAGGGAAAGGTGTAATTGACCCTGGAGAGAGGGGGAGGGGAAGAGGGATGGGTGTAGTTGACCCTGGAGAGAGGGGGAGAGGAAGAGGGATGGGTGTAGTTGACCCTGCAGAAAGGGGGAGGTGAAGAGGGATGGGTGTAGTTGACCCTGGAGAGAGGGGGAGGTGAAGAGGGATGAGTGTAGTTGACCCTGAAGAGAGGGGGAGGTGAAGAGGGATGGGTGTAGTTGACCCTGGAGAGAGGGGGAGGTGAAGAGAGACTGGTGTAGTTGACCTTTGAGAGAGGGGGAGGTGAAGAGGGAATGGTGTAGTTGACCCTGGAGAGAGGGGAAGGTGAAGAGGGATGGGCGTAGTTGATCCTGGAGAGAGGGGGAGGTGAAGAGAGACTGGTGTAGTTGACCCTTGAGAGAGGGGGAGGGGAAGAGGGAATGGTGTAGTTGACCCTGGAGAGAGGGGACGGTGAAGAGGGATGGGTGTAGTTGACCCTGGAGAGAGGGGGAGGTGAAGAGGGATGGGTGTAGTTGACCCTGGAGAGAGGGGGAGAGGAAGAGGGATGGGTGTAGTTGACCCTGGAGAGAGGGGGAGGGGAAGAGGGAATGGTGTAGTTGACCCTGGAGAGAGGGGGAGAAAAAGAGGGAATGGTGTAGTTGACCCTGGATAGAGGGGGAGAGGAAGAGGGATGGGTGTAGTTGACCCTGGAGAGAGGGGGAGGGGAAGAGAGAATGATGTAGTTGACCCTGGAGAGAGGGGGAGAGGAAGAGGGAAAGGTGTAATTGACCCTGGAGAGATGGGGAGGGGAAGAGGGATGGGTGTAGTTGACCCTGGAGAGAGGGGGAGAGGAAGAGGGAATGGTGTAGTTGACCCTGGAGAGAGGGGGAGAGGAAGAGGGAAAGGTGTAGTTGACCCTGAAGAGAGGCGGAGGTGAAGAGGGACAGGTGTAGTTGACCCTGGAGAGAGGGGGAGAGGAAGAGGCAATGGTGTAGTTGACCCTGAAGAAAGGCGGAGGTGAAGAGGGACAGGTGTAGTTGACCCTGGAGAGAGGGGGAGAGGAAGAGGGAATGGTACAGAGTTGACCCTGGAGAGAGGGAGAGAGGAAGAGGGAATGGTGTAGTTGACCCTGGAGAGAGGGGGAGAGGAAGAGGCAATGGTGTAGTTGACCCTGAAGAGAGGCGGAGGTGAAGAGGGACAGGTGTAGTTGACCCTGGAGAGAGGGGGAGAGGAAGAGGGAATGGTACAGAGTTGACCCTGGAGAGAGGGGGAGAGGAAGAGGGATGGGTGTAGTTGACCCTGGAGAGAGGGGACGGTGAAGAGGGATGGGTGTAGTTGACCCTGGAGAGAGGGGGAGAGGAAGAGGGATGGGTGTAGTTGACCCTGGAGAGAGGGGGAGAGGAAGAGGCAATGGTGTAGTTGACCCTGAAGAGAGGCGGAGGTGAAGAGGGACAGGTGTAGTTGACCCTGGAGAGAGGGGGAGAGGAAGAGGGAATGGTACAGAGTTGACCCTGGAGAGAGGGGGAGAGGAAGAGGGATGGGTGTAGTTGACCCTGGAGAGAGGGGACGGTGAAGAGGGATGGGTGTAGTTGACCCTGGAGAGAGGGGGAGAGGAAGAGGGATGGGTGTAGTTGACCCTGGAGAGAGGGGGAGGGGAAGAGTGAATGGTGTAGTTGACCCTGGAGAGAGGGGGAGGTGAAGAGGGAATGGTGTAGTCGACCCTGGAGAGATGGGGAGGTGAAGAGAGAGTGGTGTAGTTGACCCTGATGAGAGGGGAGGGGAAGAGGGACTGGTGTAGTTGACCCTGCATTGAGGGAGAGGGGAAGAGGGACAGGTGTAGTTGACCCTGGAGAGAGAGGGAGGTGAAGAAGGACAGGTGTAGTTGACCCTGGAGAGAGGGAGGTGAAGAAGGACAGGTGTAGTTGACCCTGGAGAGAGGGAGGTGA